GTGTAATCAGTATAGATTAGTAAATCTACATACATAAACACTACCTTTTGACAAATCCGCTGTGCAAGATAAAAGTAATTAATCAACCAGCGTGTTATCGGTTAATCCTTTGATCAATGTTTGTTTTGTATCTCAGCTGATAATTCGTCTTGCTGCACTTCTATGAGCCTATTACATAAAATGTAATACATTTGGCACATCAGACCTTAATTCATAATGCTGAGTATTTACACAAGAAATGCGAAATGGGAACCTCTGTCGGATAATCTGAGTGGTTTTACCATCATACCAGTTACAAGCTTTGAAATTTCTTGGAAAGATGATGTTTCCAAGACATTTCCAATTTTGGAAAGATGAGATTTCCAATTTTGGAAATATCCGCAAGGGGAGACAACTGGTGGGTGATGGTAAATGATTGTTCTGCATGGGCTAATAGTGGCATGGGGGCGGCATGAGTGTTTCATGGGGGCGTTCAGGCGACTGGCGGTAGTCTTTGATGTTTGGTGTTGTTTTAGTAATGATTGTTTAAGGGATTAACGAAAGGATTATCGACTTGACTAGTCGAAATTGCGGTGGTGAACACATTTTAAATGTTCAGTGTTTAACTGACCATCAAGTCAATTATGACATATAACATGTGTAGGTTTATACCACCAAATACTGGTTACAGCAAAGGGGGTAGTAATCGCTGAATTGCATGCAATGTTAATGGGCCGACACTGTTTGGAGGATACGAACGGAACTTCATTGTTGCATAAGAAATACATATAAGCATTTGATGTGTACTGAAGTTAAAATTGCAGATACCTAAGTAAATTTTCATTTGTCATAAATATAATATGTAATAGACATCATATGTTTACGTGTCATGATTAAATATCGAGGTAAAAAAACACAGAAATAAGATCAAATTGGATCAGTCACTATGCCATCTACGCATTAAAAAATCCGAAAAGCATACACTGCTGGTATACTTTATTGCAATCAGACAGGAACTGCCGGGGGTATTCTCAAATAACAGCATCTGATGACCATCCACCCTTCCTAATGTCCCGCTGTTTGGGTTGAAGAAATGTTGTCAAGGTGGCCATAAGCCCAGTCCCTGTGTCCGTCACGGTCGAGGGAGCAGATACCGACAAGCTTGCACTTTGGTTTGGAAATTAGACTGTTGGCGAGAAACATTAATCGCTCTGGGTCAGTTCCCCTCTACTTACATGGGGATATATAATAGGAAGAAGCATGAAAGTGTACATTCGACTTCGAAATGGCTAATGCTCAACTTGAACAGAAGTTCATTCCTACACCTCGTTGGTGCAATATGCCGAAGGCCAAAGACAACCCACAAAGAAGAAATACCGATACCTGGAACGTCGTCTTCAAGAACTGAGACACCAGTTTCAAAATGGAATTTTAACTGTTAGACAGTTTGCTGATTCAGCGTCTCTTCTTTCTCATCTTTAATATATTTATAATGTACTTATAAATGTGTATGTATATTTACAATTTTGTAATATTTTGAAACATTTCTTAATATGATGTAGTATAACTATTAATAATTCCTGTAAAATTTAGCATGTAGTAACATGATGAAATAAAATATGTCCATATAGTCTCCCGTTACCACTCGTGGCTTACGCCTTCTATGTTTTTTATGTGTTTTATATTTCAATGTATGAGTGAAATGAGACTGAAATAAAACATTATCTTTATACATATTTTTGGCTCGTTTTCTCATTAGGTGTGCTCTCATTCGCATAATCCGGAATATCCTCTTCTATCAACACGTAGGCCTATCATTGTCTCTATAATCCAATGTTAATTTGCTAACAGACGGGCATCAACATTTCTCTTAATTCAACCGTTTGGACCAAAGGTCGATAGAGGGGAGTTTCCATGTATATTCTCACGCCGTTATCAAGATAAAAGTTACTACAACCAGGTGAATAGAAGTATATATGCATAGTGACAAGCAGCAAATTAACAACAGGTAATTCAGCAAGTAGCACGTCGTTGGGGCCAACAGGAGAGTAAGATCAACAAGTCGAAATCCACTCCATTGTCCAAGTGATGGAATCAATCAACATTCAATCAGCTTGTTTATCCTGAACGTTGTAGCTCTATGCAATAAACAGGGAGTTGTTATCACGTAAGTGGTATGTTTCGTTGTGTATCCCCATACTGCAGTATAAGTGAGATCTGCTTCACTTTGCGAATGATCAAACTTTTGAAGTTCTACTTTAGTAAACTGCTACCTAACAGATTGATCTCAGATTAAAACATCTCATCCCAAATTCGTGTTTTATATTTCAGGTACTAAGAAAATTTACTACTGAATTTTTACGTATTAGATATACATCTATCGGTACCAGTTTTACGTGTCTAACATAGTGATTATATATTTTTGACCATTACATGTGTCATTCACACGTCATTTATGCCATGATAATGTTCTCTGATCCATTTCATCATACAGCATTTATTTCATTCAATGTTTTGAAGCTCATATGAAAACATGAGAAATGTTACTGTTCCAGTTCCTTTTGAAGAGTGAAATTATTTTTGTTCCTCAAGTGTTCCAACCAATATAGTCATTATGGTTATAAACGACCTGATCTTAATACCTATCAAGTTAGATGTTATACACGCGTGCATGCACACACACCCACACAAAACATCCGTAATTTGTGAATTCTGTTCGGACGATAAAGAAATATTTAATTTGGTCAGAATCAGTATATAAATTATCTTCCCTTACTATGAGAGAAGCATTGCATTATTCGTTCACTTTTTTTATAATTTTATCTGCATAAAAGAAGGTATTATCAGAAATGTGAAACAAACTTTCGTATACTACCACATCACTAACATTCCGATATTGACCATGGAATAATGTTAAGCTTAGTCTGTTTTCAATGTCATAATATGTGAGGTTCCTCATTCACAGATACATACAAACTGACAGCATAACACAAAACAATATGCAACCAACCCAATGTAATACAACACTAGTTTCAACGCCTGTGCATACCACACTGTTGACGAATCTCTCAGGCGTGTTAGAGTGATAATCACATCGCGAAATGATTAACAAGCCTACAGGTCAGCAGATTTTAATAACTTACCTTTTTAATAAGAAAAGCAAGATTTATGGATGTCAACTTCTTTATTGTGAATAACACGAAGTTTCGGAGCATATGCTTGCTCCTTCATCAGGTGAAAATCAGGTCACAGTAATGCATTCCACTTCTTAATGCCCATCGAAGATTTAACTCACTTCCAGAGGCTTCTTTAAGAGGCATAAAAACTTTTTAATTAACAAGGCAGTAGGCCTTGTTAATTGGTGACTATTAACTGCCTTGATTCACTCATCAATCAACAAGGGATTAGGCCCCGGGGCGTGCAAATAACAATAATTTACCATCACCCACCAGTTATCTCCCCTTGTGGATATTTCCAAAATTGGAAATGTCTTGGAAACATCATCTTTCCAAAATTGGAAATGTCTTGGAAACATCATCTTTCCAAAATTGGAAATGTTTTTGAAACATCATCTTTCCAAGACATTTCCAAGCTTGTAAACATGGACTTTTTTTCCAGTGGTACCCGTGAAGATCCTGGTTAGAATATTGATTTTCAGTAACCCGTGCTTGTCATAAGAGGCGACTAACGGGATCTGGTGGTTAGGCTCGATGACTTTGTTGACACATGTCATCGGTTCCCAATTGCGTAGATCGATGCTCATGCTGTTGATCACTGGACTGTCTTGTCCACACTCGATTATTTACAGACCGCCGTCATATTGCTGGAATATTGCAGCGTAAAACTAAAGTCACTCACTCACTCATGTAAGTACACAATGCACATTGCATGCGTGCATTACAGGTCCGGGCATTCGGGTCAAGCAGTTATTTACCATGCTGCACTGCATCTGCACATTAAGCCTACGTGCAGAGTCAGTAGTTTCATGAACATCAATTGTTTGCAAAAAGTCTGTCAAAGTCAACATCATTCAGAAAGTCTTGATATCGTCACCAGGCGGGACAGCATCACAGGTTTTCTCAGCTATGGATGCTGAAACTTTCCTTCTTGGCTTTCTCATCTGTGTAGCCAGTATATGTTTTTAGGCTAGATTCAGACTTATGTCCGGTGGCTGTCATAATATGACTGGAAGGGACCTGAGCTGCGTCCAAGACGTAAACTGTTGTCGCTCTCAGTGAGTGATTGGTATTCTTCATGGAGAACCCTGTGTTGATGCTCAGATTTGGCATCATTGAACGAAGACAGTTGTGGCCAAGGGGAATGGGATAATAATGCTGGTTATTTTCCATCTTCGAGTTCGGTTGTTGGAACTACTTTGGATAGTTTTCGTTCAGAAGTCTTATGTACTTCACGGACGGACTGGGCATCTTGTATTATCTTTAAAAGAATTAGTAAATTGGTTGAATAAATATACGTAAACATGTAACATGTTGTTGATTTGAACCTTTGAACAAGCTCTTATCTTAGACTAAAAACCACAGTCGAAGGAAATTGAATGAGAGTGACGTCTCTTGATATTTGTAGTTCCGGTTGCCTTGCCAGCGTTATGTGGTAACTTTGGTATGTATCCTTTCAATGTAGTCATATTGGCTTACATTCAAAATACTCTTTTCAATACATTCTAAAACACCCTCCCTCTAGCGCAGTCTCCGTCATCTTGATGGTTCTTAAAAGAAGTCTGTCCATCCGTTTCTCCGTCAGCGTCCGTGATCACTGGACTGTCTGGTCCAGACTCGAATATTTACAGACCGCCGTCATATAGCTAGAATATTGCCGAGTGCGGCGTAAAACTAAAGTCACTCACTCACTCATGTAAGTACACCATGCACATTTTTTTTTCATATACACATCGAAAGTATGTACACAGCCTTGTTTCACCAAAGTGTTACACGCGTGAGAAGGGTGTCACGCGTACATTAAGTCACGCAACACGTCTTTATCGTGGTTTCAATTATTTTCAGAATGTTCCAACTTCAGCACCAACTTCACCTTGTACACGTCCTTGGCCATCCGGTTTTACGACTTACACTTCCAAGGAGCGTCAACTTACGAATCCTGCCCTGAGTTGTGCATCAACGACACCAGGTGTGAGTCGGCGGACTTTCACTTTGATTTGGGAATCTGCTACCTGAATTCAGTCACTTGGCTCAAAGCGCCCGCATCTGCACAACTTACCAACTACCCAACATATGACTTCTTCCAGCGGGAGTGCCTTTGGTGACTGAACTAAAGTTCATTCTGAACTGACAATGTAATATTCAAACGGGGAACATTTAGAAAAGTTGTAACTTGTTTTTAACAATTTGTTTTACAAATCTATTGCTTTATTACAAAAGTGTTGTTTGTATGAAACATTGAAATGAGTATATTTTGTTTTTGTTTTTGTATGAAATGCAATTGTTCAGCTCCTCCTGTTTGAGAACTGTTACTGTTTTGAGTCGGTAGCCGAAACATAATTCCTAAGAATATTAAATGATTGGGCTGTGTTCTGTTGAGTGAACCTTACACAGAGCGAAAGACAATGACAGTTATTAATTAAAGCCGAGATGCAGGGGAATCAGCTACTCGTTCAAAACGTATGCACAACAATATGTTCAATATATGTAAGCCTGAGTTTTTTGCTTGTACTGTTTCTTTCTTGTTTATTATCCAACAATTAAATATTGTAAAGGATATTATTGGAAAATGTTTAAACGTATGTTTTACATTTCTTTCACACATGTATTGCTTGTTTCCAAACATATTTCTTGGATGAAATACCGGAAACCATAATTATATTTTTGTGTGAAATAAAGCAATTGTTAAGTTCGTCCTGTTTGTGAAAAATACTGTTTTGAGAATGTAGCCAAAAAATAAATTCAGAAAATATTCCATTTACAATGAACCTTGAACATAAAAATTAACAATTCTAAACAAATCGTTAAAGCCCAGGTCAAAGGGAATCAGATACATGTTCAGTAAGAACACTCTTCAAAAAAAGGAACGCATAGGTGATTTTTAAAATATTGGACTCATGTTGCAGCGGCAAAAACAATACAGATATACTATTTATTTCCAAAACGTCACCTATGTGTTGTTGTGAACAGCTTCAGCGCCCAAACTATATATTTTATAACTTTTATACAACTATTATAACTTCTTGCCTTGTTTTAGAAGTGTTTGAAGAAATATTCTCCAAAACGTCACCAAGAAGATGTGCAAAGGGAAATGCACGTGCAAGTAAGGGGGAAAGCATGCTGTATCGATCACTATAAAAAAGCAAACGTTGTGATTAATCTTTTCATTCGTTTTTGTCTCTCATGCCACGACTGAGTGCCGCCAATCCAAACATCTTCATGGGCTGCCTTGAAGCTGGGGAGTCGCACTCTGCAGCTGCTCAACATTTCAACGTTCACCCGAGCACCATATCTCTCCTCTTTGATCGTTTCCTGCAGACAAATTCCGCCAAAGATCGACCGAGAAGCGGCGGTCCAAGAGTTACCACCCAAGCCCAGGACCGCTACATCCGGGTTTCCTACTTACCTCATCGTCCTGCCAACCTTAGAAACTGGAGTCGATTCTGATTCAGTGATGAATCACGATTTATTCTTCACCGGCGAGATGCAAGACAATGTGTTTACCGTCGGAAGAATGGACGTTAGGCCCCTGACTGCTCTGTCATGGAGTGGGGTGCGATATTGCACACAAAGATCTGATTTAGTGGTGGTTCAGGGGAATTTGACAGCCAATCGGTACAGCAACAAAGCCCTGCTCTCCCAAAGGTGTTCTGTGTACAAACTGCACACATATTTGTTATGAAAGTATATGTGTATTCATTTTCCAATCTGCTTAAAGACAACTCTTTCTAGATTTAGATGATCTTTTGAACTGCTTTAGAAACTGGCAGATATACAAATACTGAACGCCTCAGCCCTGTGCAATATTTGAAACTTTCATCCATGGACTAGATGCCTCAAATGTCAATGTTATGTGGATGGTATCCCCAATTTCCGTTCGTATAGATGTGATAGTTTAATCAGAAATGTTTACGAGGTTGGCTTTAAGCACATGGAGATGGAGATTGTCTTTCAGGCCAGGAGGTACCCAGCAGTCATTGAAAAACCGTTGGAGTTATTTTGTTAAATTATTTGACAAATCTCGACGAATTCACTGCTGAAAACTTTATCCTGAATATTCAAGTCAGTGCCCCTTTCTTACTACCTACCAAAGCCCTCATTGAAGATCTATCAGATCTAAAATACCAAATTTAAGACCAAAATTCTTTGAAATTACCAACCTGGCAAAAACTTCTAAATGTACTCATTAACCCTCGCATAAAGAAATTCCCCAAGCAAATTCTTATCTTCCGTTATTCTAATAATACTTTATCTAGAAATTCGATGTGCCCTTTTATGTTACACCTATCCATAACTGCTGACGACGTTTCAGGTGTACGTATACAAAACACTGTAAAATACCAGGCTAGAATGAAAATAAGGTGAAAGATAAAGTTTATGTAAACCTTCGTCATGAGAGTGTCTCTCTGATCAAAACAATAGCAGCTGTTCTCTCGTTATAATCACGGCAGTTGGTTAAACTAATATAATTCTAAAAATAGAAGCAGACTAAAACTGCATTCACTTCATTATTTGTTTTACAGATATTTCAATATTCTACTAAACCAATAATATCATAATTGAAACACAATTTCTTGGAATCACATCGTGAAAGTTTAATTGCAGTGCTAATATATTCCATTTTAGACTGATGACCACTCTCTTACTGCTGGACGAGTCACATCACTAAGCAATTTAAAAATATACATATATTATGTTTCGAGTGCAAGCAACGTAAGCGCGAGACAGCAGCCTGCTATATCGGTTATATTTGGCGATAAATGTGGTTCTAGTCAATCAAAGAGAGCACGTGCAAACAGCAAGTGATGATTCCTGCCTCAATTTCCTATGGAGATTTACCCTTGGTTGAAGTTTGTTAAAAAATCTATGGAGAATGGAGAATAGAAACATACACGTGACTCTGTAAGAAACACACTCAAATGGTTTTTTTATTTAGAATATTTATTGTATTGGACATATATTGGTATTGGGTGAATCTATGGTTTGTTGCTATATTGTCACAAGCAATTACATCAGGTCTCTGCTGTTGGCATTTGAGTAGATGATTAGTAACCACGAATTCTCACTGTTTCTGTTCTGCTGTTCTTCATAAACCTGCAATACGCTAGTCAGTCATTCCATAACTACTCATCACCATATCGTGCTGGAGTCTCTGGATCTTTTGTTTCCTTTCTGACGACAACATGTTCCATGGCGGCGTTACGAATCGGGATATTAGTCACTGGCTTTTCTCCTATAAAGTTATTGTGTACCATATAGCTGGCTAGAACTTCACTAAGCAGCAAGGGGGTGGTATTGGCTGCTTTTACACCTGCATGAGGATATGTAGAAATGGGATTTTAAACCGCTACTAACTTTCCTAGGTGATAACCTAATCATTTACACAATACGTAGAATATGATTGGAAATCACTGACAAAGGTCTGTACAACTGGTAAATGCCAGCCACGACCATGCACATATCAGCCAATCAGGAAACAGAAGTGTGCTAGTAGAACATTTTATCGATTGATATTTGTTTTTGAAAAACGTGAAGTGTCACAAAAGCTAACAACATCAAACAGCATCTGAACCAGAGATGGGAACAATGAAGGCTGTCATGTACATTGCCCTGACTTCATGTGCAGCCACTGTGGAGCTGACGACGTCCGCGTTTTTTGCTGTGATGTAACGTTGGTTGTCAATTAGTATGTAATTATTTATGTAATAAACGAATATAGATTGAGTGTTGGTAGAACAATGATTCTCAGATAAAGGTCACAATTCCACTTTACAAGTGTCCCGCACATTTTGTCGCAAAAGCATGAACCCAACGCACTATTTAACGACTTCTTTACTACCGTGGACATCAGCCAAACAAAATAATATTATTACGTGACGTATTTAATCATTACGTTCGTATACATCAGCGTTTATATACCCCCAAAAAAGTGACCTTTGTCGCTGTCCCTTTAACTGTTCTCATAACTTCACATTTCATCATTGATTTGCTTCAATGCTTAAGTGAGATTGTAAGCTAATGTTATGTAAATAAGTAGTTTCCAGTCGCTATTAAATTGCCTTAAGTCCAATATTTGCATTCATTTAAAACAAATTTCACAAAATTCCTTGTCCCTAAAACTACCGTCAGATACGTTAAACAATTTCCAAGACGCATACATTTTCAATGGTGTAGGCGATTGTAGAACTTATTTAACCATTATTTTACACGAATTCAATAATATCAATTATTAGTCGCACTTTAAGTTAAGTAAAGTCATACATCAACATTTTAACACCTATGTCACGTTTAAATTGCATCAGATACGTTAACCCGTTGCCGGCAGTCATGGTAATTCTAAGATAGATATGTGATTCAGAGACTTGCAATATTAATGAATAGAACAAACAAACAGAGAAGCGCTGGTGTCAGAAGATCAAATGCATTGAGAAAAGCAAGTGTGTTCACCGTTCAGTCCAAGCCAAATACCACAGAAGGTTATTAGGAAACTCACAATGGCTAATGCATTTCTGAAAGAAATAAAATCGTCACGTCAATCTAATCTTAAACAGAATACTATGAACGTTCTGTCTACAGTTATCTGCGGAAAAGCTGTGAAAAAGTACAGAATGGTATCAAAGATGAATAAAGCTACAGGTTTTCGAAGAAATACCTGAACAAATCTGGATCTAAAGTGATACAGTTGAAAGGTAGAGCCCGACTCACAGTCTTGAGAGAGCAACTGAAAAGGCAAGTTGTATCTTGTCTAGAGAGAGATGATGTCAGTGTATGCATGCCTGGCAAAAATGATCACAAGAAGCATGATGGTGAAACACGTCAAACAAGAATTCTCAATGATTATTTGGCAAACATATTTGAGAAGTTTAAACCTGAGTATCCCGAAAATAATACATCTTTCTCAGCGTTCTGTAAAATTAGGCCTAGATACATCTTGCTGACTTCCTTTATATCCAGAAACACGTGCGTATGTAGTAAACACCAGAATATGGCAATGAAGCTAAAGTGTCTGCGCTCCCTTGGTCAACACGTGCCTTCCTCCCCAGAGTCTCTCTCCAACACTCTGTCAGAGGAAGACATGGCTGCTCAGCTGGCTGACATCACAGATGAAGAGATCGAGTTTGAGCAATGGGGAAGAGAGGAAATAGACGGCAAAAAAGGATGAAGGTGTTAAAGATAAACAAAGAAAAGAACGAATTCATCACAATTATGAAGCAGGAACTCAAGAATTCTTCTGGCATGTATCACGTGTGAAAGCACAATATTCAGCACTGATTGAGCTAAAGAACACTCTTCCCAAAGATCATGTCATTGTCCAAATGGACTTCGGAGAGAACTTTCTCTGGATGAAATACAGAGCGCCTACTGGAATTCGACAAACGTCACAATTACATCCTGCCGTTGTCTATTACAAGGAAGAGGTTGAGAACGTTCTAAGCCACAAGAACTTTGTTACATCTCTAATGTCATTCAGCACAATTCAACGGCTGTCCTCACCATCCTGAAGAAACTTGTTCCGGAAATAAAGGAAGTGATTCCTGACACGAAATGCATCCATTATTGGACGGATAGCCCTTCGTCTCAATACCGGAACAGGTATATCTTTGATGCTGTTCTCAAACACCATTCACTTTATGACGTCACAGCATGCTGGAACTACTTCGAGAGTGGCCATGGCAAGGGGCCATGTGATGGTCTGGGTGGATCAGCCAAGAGACAGGCTGCAAATGCAGTGAAACAAGGACAGGTCACCATCCAGGACGCTCACGACTTCTTCAAATTGGCAAAGGCCAGTCAGAAGTCTATCAATTACAGATTCCATTCAGCAGCTGATATGGAGACAACATCAGCTGAAATAGCAACGTCTTCAGCAAAGGCTATCCCAGGCACGATGAAGCTGCATGCTGTCTTCCCTATTGATGACGTTCTCCATACACGGCATACATCATGCTACTACCAAGGGTGCCTTACTGGCAAACACCTTTCTCCAAAATTGACTGCTGATGTAGTATACCAAACTGCTGTCGAAAATGGTCAACCTGTCTCTCTACCAAAAGCTTCATTTGTACCAGAAGAAAGACGATTTGTGGCTGCTGGATATGATGAGAACTGGTTCATTGGAAAAGTAATGGAAGTAGATGAGTCAGATCTTGATGCCAAGATATCCTTCATGGAGAAAACACATGGGAAAGGGGTGACCTCGACCTTCAAATGGCCACAGCGACTTGATGAGCTGTGGGTCAGTTTCAGTGATATTCTATGTTGAATTGATGACCCGGTTGCTGTCGGGAAAACAAAACGTCAGTTCACAGTGTCAGCTACAGACATGGAACACATCCTATCCTGCTTTGACAACTAAGAAGTTCATGTTTTACTGACTTGATGTTGAGTTTTGCCTTA